GGGAGATGGCTCAGTGGAATAAGCGCTCCCCTGGCAAGCGCAAGGCCTGAGTTCAATCCCCCATTCCACCAAAAAAAAAAAAGAAATCGGAATAAAACAGCAAAATATTAAGACCAAAAAACCCATTAGATTGCCCTGACAGGGAGGAAGAACAGGGAGAAGGCCAAGTCAGGGACTCACTGGTCTGGGCTGAAAATGCTCGTCTGAAAGGCCCCACTTGTCCCTGTGGTACTGGTAGTACACCAGGTTCTGCTGCATGACCTTGTCGTTCTGGTCAAAGAGCAGGTAGCTGACTGCACAGGGTGCGGCATTCTTCAGGTCATTCACTGGGTGCAGGAAAGAGGCAGAGAGAGAAATCAGCAAGCCCCACCCTGCCACCCTATGCCACCCCTCCCAGCAGCTAACCTTCCCGGAAGCTGAGCTTCCTAAAGGAACAGGTCTGAACAAGCCCCGCCTCCCCAAATCCTGCAACCTGCTCACAGGCAGAGTCTACATGGCAGTGTGGAAGCCAGCTTTGAAGCAGGGAAGTTTCTTGTTAGGCAGATACCTTAGCAGACATGTCCCTGTACCACCTCAGGATCTAGTAACCCAACCTGGTCTCTGGTCCCTGGCACCAGATGGAGAAGATGGGTCCCAAGGTCTGGCCTATCCTGAGGCTGAAGGAAACAGGACATACCCAAACAGGATGCACCTTCCCCGACTGAGGTCTATGGTCCCTGGTTCTCTCCGGATATGACCATAACCTCCACACACAGGTGGACCCTTCTCTGACTAACCCAGACTTGGAAGACATAAAAAGCGGGGACTCCCAGGATGGAGGAGATTTGAAGTCACTTGGTCCTGCCGTCTCCTGGAGACTGGGGGTTCCCAGCTCCAGCCTCCTACTTAATATCACCTGTCCACACCACCTCCAGCATAGGGATTCTAGAGTGGTTGGGATTTGTCTTGGAGGTGAGTGGAGTGGGGCAAAAGGGAAGAAAGACTGAGATGAAAAAAGAAAGTCCCTGGATATTTATTCTGGCACTTTCTACTCCCATTTACAACTTACAACTGAGGAACCCCAGTTCTGCCAAAGCTCTGGTTGTCAGGAGTAACCAGAGGTTGGGTATGAATAAATTGTGCCACCCAGCGGCTACTTCCTATAATGACAACTTTGAAACTCTCCTTAGAAGACACATTATACACAAGGCCTGCATGGCTGTAAAGGGTTCAAATATAAACTGTAATACCTGCTCAATAAATTCGGAGCAGTAGGAAGCCTAAAAAGAGTTTATAACAGTGAAGACTTACAGGAGACTCATTTCAGGAAGGGAATTTTATTTACACTGTTTACTTATAACCCTAGCAAGCAAAGACTTCTGGGCAGAAGTATGCTGTGTTAGGAGGCTTTGGACTCCCGCTGCATACAATCTCTGCCATTTCTTGACACTTGGGACAGTTGCCTAAGCATGGGGGACTCGGGGGCTGCTGGAGCCCAGGTGTGTCTGCAACAGTCACCTGGCAGTTTTCTAGCCTTGGCCACTCAGAGCCAAGCCATACTCAGGTGGGAGCAGACCACACAGACTATTAGATAACGTATAACTCTATATTATCTGTACAGACACGTGGGGTTTTTTCTTTCTTTTTAATCCTTTACGAGGGTGACTGTTGTTGGAAAAGGCAACCCAACAAAGAACAAAATAATTGTGAACAAAAGGCTAGAGAAGCCAAGGCCACCTCTCACTCTTCCCAGGCATAACCGAGGCCACCAGATCCTGAGTTTGAAGATGGGAGCTGGGCACAGGAACCCTATCTGGAACCTGTCGCCACTGCCTCTTCACTAAGACAGAATGGTTCTGGGTCTGTCTGTCTGCAAGAGTCTTCCTGTGCTTACCACGGGATAGCCAAAGTGAACACCTCTCAGATGAGGAGCACTTGACAGGGTTGGTGTCAGGGAAGGAGGCGAAGTCTAAACAGACAGGCTCTGAGGTCCAACTCTAAACCACCTCTTCTTCTGCATGTGCCTCCCTTGGGTCACACGTGAGGTGTGTGAGGAAAATACAGGATGACTGTATCAACTGAAAATTTTGTAACAGTCAAAGATACAATGTCTGGGGCTGGTGAGATGGCTCAGTGGTCTAAAGCACCTACTTAGAACAAGCTTAACAAAGCACAGGGACCACAGTTCAATCCCCCAGCACCACATGCCAGCCAGCCCCGCCCCCTGGTGGGCTGAGCTGGCCACACACACACACACACACACACACACACACACACAAATAAATAAATAAATAAAATTTAAAAAAAAAAAAGATACAATGTCATTCATTCTCCTGAAAATATTCTCTTTCACTTCAAACACACTTAGTCCATTTTTCTTGCCACTTTCTGAAGCAGTTTTGGAAGTCCCGCTTCATAAGTATTTTTTCATGGCTGCCTTGATGTCCTGAATCAATTTGAAACACCTACAGCAATCATACAAAAATATTATGGCATGCTCTCAACCACCTTTTTCACCAGATCTGGCACCATGTGACTTCTAGCTCTTCTCTGAAGTCAAAATGTTTATGAAAGGTGTCAGAGAGCGGGTTGTATAAGTGCTAAGATGATGACCTACGCCCCACAGTCCTGAGGCCTGTGTTAGCTCGCTTTGAGAACAGAAAATTATGTGCAAAGCTATGTGTTTTCTATCTTGGGTGGGAGAACTCATAAGCACAGCACTTTAGGGCAAAACAATACTCCCTCAAGAAAACAGAAAAAAAGCTAGGGGCTGGGGATGTAGCTCAGTGACACAGGACCTGCCTGCAAAGTACAAGGTCCTGAGTTCAATTCCAAATACCAAACAAAACAAAACAAGAAAGCAAGCTAGTTCTCTGTTAAGTTGTACAGGCATCTGGTGCAGAAAGGGCTGTTCACCTTTACCTCTTTTTAAGTATACCTGTTCCTTATTTTTCAAATTCTCCTTCAATCATGTAAAAAATGATGCATGATCCCACCTCCCCATGCTTCTTGCTGGCCAATAAAAGTGAACTGTGGGGGTTGATGAACTTGTGCAGCAGGAACAAGTCTCCTCCTAGTCCCCCACTACATTCTGAAATCTGTCTTTTGTCCTTAGTCCCAGCATGCCCTCTGCAAGGACCTGGGAGTCTGACCAGGCAGAAAGGTAAATATTTTGAATAGCAAGACTAAAGACACTTCCAAATGAAATAAGTACATTGTGAGGGGAGAGTAATAGCCATGTGTTTTTTACTAGAATCATTTTTAATTTAAATATTCACCATGTCTTTCGATCACACCTCACAGAATGTTCCCACTGACACACCCCAGGCCCAGCAGAGCACCAGGGATCAATGAACTGTCAGCAACCATAGGAGAGGAACAGCACCTTTGGTTTACCTAGAGAAGCTGTTTTAGAAAGATTAAATACCTCCGCCCAAGATTCCACAGATGATTACTTACATTTATAATAGGCGAACTGCAAATAATGGTACATGGTAGCCACAAATTTCTCGACAGGATAGCCTCCTATAACTGGAGTGAGGTTCTCTTCACACTGTATTTTGCATTCCAGGACTTCTATATAATGATCTGAAAATGTACACAAATTTCCAGAGCAGAGCATCCGTTACTTTCTGTTTTGCAGTCCTGAGGGCTGAACCCAGGCCTTACAGGCTAGGCAAGCGCTCTTCTACTGAGCTACATTCCCATCATCATGACTTTCTTCATACAGCTACTTCTGCCTTCCGTGAAAATGATGGCAAAGGCAAAGAAAAACTGGGCGGAACACATTTACAATAAGAGGCTAAAATCTTTACTATGCACAACTCCTTAAGATCAAGAAAATGTTAAGCACACACTATAAAAATGGCCAAAGGTTGTTTAACAGAAAGTATAAAAATGATGAACAACCACTGTGAACCGAGGGCTCCTTTATAACTAAAACAATCAAATCCGACTGTGGTGGTGCATATTTGTAACCCCAGAACTGTGGGAGGCAAAGGCAGGAGGATCTAAAAAAAAAAAAAAGATCTAGGGCCATAGGCTATAGCTCAGTGTGAAGCCCCTGAGTTCATTTGATCATTTGACCCTGTACCAAAACAAAAAACAAAGTGAAAGTTTTATATTCATATTCTGAGGGGGAAAAAAAATTGGCAATATTTATCAAAAATAAAATACATTGATCTTCCAACCTCTGAGTATACTTCTAGAAAAATTTTCTTTAGGGCCGGCCTGATAGTTCAGTGGACTAAAGCGCTTGCTTAGGCAGGGCTCAGCAGCCAGGGTTCAATCCCCAGAGTGCCGTTCTGGCCCTGTTCCTGGGGCTCATGATTGAGACTGGGCGGTGGTGGTGCACGCCTGTAATCCCAGCGCTTGGGAGGCTGAAAACAGCAGAATCAGGGCCTGGGGAGATGGCTCAGTAGAATAAATGCTTCCCTGGCAAGCGCAAGGTCCTGAGTTCAGTCCTCAGTTCTAAAAAAAAAAAAAAAAAAAAAAAAAAAAGAGAGAGAGAGAGAGAGAATCACTACAAGTCTGATCTGTGCAGTGAGACCCTGCAGACCCTGTGGACCCTGTCCTAAATACAGAAAAAAAAATTTTTTTCTTTAGAAATAGGCACTCATAAGCATTGTTTATAACAGCAAATATGGAAGAACCTAAATACCAGTCAATAAATTATGATACAAACAAGAGAATAGTACAGAGACTTTCGGAGAATCTAAATATAACAACATGAGAGATGTCAAAGACTACATTTTCCGGCCTCGCTTGCATTTGGACGGGAGCCATACACTTGGTTGGGGGCTAATGCAATATACATACAACAACTGATAAGCTCTTTGCAGTCCTGGGAGTAAGCAGAACCGCCCATGTGATCCCTGAACCCCTCTGTTTTATCCCTTTATACAACTAGAAGCAAAAACTAGGATGTCTGCATTCTGTTGGCAAGACTATGGGAAAAAAGGCACTCTTATACACTGCTGGTAGGAATGCTAACAGGCACCTAAAGGACTATATAATTTGCAGAAACATTTCCTGTAAAACTATTAACCCACTTCTGTAGATTTTGAAAACATAAGAGCCAGCCTGATAGCTCAGTAGACTGAAGCACCTGCTTAAGCAGAGTGCAGTGGCGCAGGCCTGCAGTGCCAGCTCTGCCCCCGGGACCCACTGAGCTGGGATTGAGACTGGGCACAGTGGCGCATGCCTGTAATCCCAGCACTTGGGAGGCTGAAAACAGGAGAATCACTATAAATCAATCTACATAGGGGAGACCTGTAGAACCTGTCCTAAGTACAGAAAGAAAAAAAAAAAGATTTTGAAAACAGCTCCATACTTAGGGAAAAAAAAAAAAAAAAAAGCATATTCACTACAGTACTGTATCTAGCAGCAAATGATTGGAACCACCCAAATGTTTACCAGAAAGCTGAATAAACCGTAGTACACACACACGCGTGCGCACACACACACACACACGCACACACCTCTGCAGTGGAGTACTTGGCAGCAATAAAAAACAGTGACACAATCTCAATGTGCTACTTGGGATATGTGAAGTGGGAAAGCAAAGAACAGAACAGAGTAAAAGGTATAGTACTCATTTTGTATAAAAGAAAAGAACTATGTAAAAATATGGGAATACATATATTCTTTATAGAAAAATGTGATTCAAAAAAGAATTCTCAATACCTATCAGTGAGGATGAGAGAGAAGGGCAGAGATTTATGAACAGCAAATTGTTATGGTCTTGCTATTAATAAATAAATTCAAAAGAGAAAATACTAACTATATTGTGGAGAGAACAAAATATCTTAACCAAATATTTAAAAATTGATATTACTGCCAGGTGTGGTGGTACATGCCTGTAATCCCAGCATTTGGGAGGCTAAGGCACAACTGCCAAAAGTTCAAGGCTAGATTGGGCTAAAGAGTAGTTTAAAGCTAACCTCAACTACATAGTCAAAAAAAAATAAAAT